TATTTATTTATTTTTATTTTTTTACTATAGGTACGTTCTGCCATGTTACTGTATTCTAAAGATGCATTGGAAAATGACTGTATATTTTACATATTATATTTTAAAGATATACATACAATTCTGCAAATACATATACAGCAAGAGAAATAGTGCTGCAAATGTAAATACAGTAACACATACAGTCATTTACTGTAGCTACTACAGGAAGTTGTTAACTGTGTATATGGCTACATTCTTAATCAAACATTACTATCTATATTAATTAAATCATATAAGCATTTATATACATAATTATATTTTAAATGTATTATATATTTTGGTGTAATTTATATAATTGAAATTTATTATTTTACAATTTTATGTTAAAATATAAAAAATATACATTTAATTTATATGATAATGTTATTATATTTTATTGAATACTATTACTATATACTATAGACAGATATGAGCGAATACGTTGTTGATTATTTTACAATGTTAACAAAGGTCCTGTATACTTTAACTTGTTTGAATTTATAGAAAACACTATCTGTGTGTGTGTGTGTGTGTGTGTGTGTGTGTGTGTGTGTGTGTGTGTGTGTGTGTGTGTGTGTGTGTGTGTGTGTGTGTGTGTGTGTGTGTGTGTGTGTGTGTGTGTGTGTGTGTGTGTGTGTGTGTGTGTGTGATATTAGTGCTGGGTGAAGGTTAATCAGGATTAATCATATTAAAAATAAAAGTTTGTTTTGCAATAATGCAAGTGTCTGTACTGTATATACTGTATTAATAAATGCACCATAAGCATGCATATATTTGAGAAAATATTTGTTTATATTTATTTTGAATGCTATTAAATTTTTGTCCGGCACTAAAATATATCTGAATATATATAAATCCTGAAATGCACTTTACACCCGGTTGTAGTTGTTCTATGGGTGATAGAGCTGGTCTCTTAATCGTGCTGCTACTTCAAGTTTAGCAGGTAAAGTGAATATTTTCCACACTGTAAACTTCAGCAACTTATTTAATGCTGTCAGTTTGGTTTCTTATAGTTTCACGTTTGTTATTAAGCATATGTTTCATGTTGTGGCAGGAGTCTGCATGTTTCTGTACCATTTGGACATCACTGTACTAAACGTACATGCTTGCTGGCTAATAATAGTGTTTGATTTCAGAAAAAGCAGAAGCCGATGGTTATTTATTATTAGTTGTAAAAGCATGATTTCAGGATAAGAAATGCAGCTTATTGGTCAGGACATGTTCAGCGCACATTCAAGTATGCATTTATTAGCAGATTTGACAAAGTTGTATATTGTGCTGAAAGTCATTAATGCTTTGCTTTAAAGACAACAGTGATAAAAATTAGATCCATGATGTAGTTCCAGTTATTTATAGTGTGTTAATGTACGGGTCAGTAATTGAAAATGGTGTCCAGACATCAGAATAATGGTTTAATAGCTGATTATATGCACAGTTTATCTTTATTTTTTAGATTTTCTAAAGGACAGCCACTAAAATATGAGTTTAGCATGGAGTTTAAAATAGAGTTTAACAATAGAAATCTTTTAAAATTGAAGAATTATCATTGGTTGACATTTTAAAACACTATTTAAAGGGACAGTTACTCTGAAAGTAAATTTACTCACTATTTTTGTGGGTTTAAACCTTTGAGTTTCTTACTGATGTATTTCTATGTGGGCTAATAAGCTTTCAGACTGGTTAAAATACATTTTAGTTTTGAGTTTATGCAAATATGTTTTGTTGGTTTAAGATTAAATGTGTTTGAATAGTTGTGGATTACACTTCGAAAATAAAAATGAAAGAAATCTTTATTATGTTGCACACAGAAGAAGATATTTTAGAAGATAACCGAAATCTGTAGAATGCTGAAAACCGGTCACCATTGACTTGCATAGTACTATGTAAGTCAATGGTGACCGGTTTTCGGCATTCTTCAAAATATCTTCTTTTTGTGTGCAACATAATAAAGATTTCTTTCATTTTTATTTATATTGCACACAAAAAGAAGATATTTTGAAGAATGCTGAACATCAGTAATCATTGACTTAAATGGTACTACAAAAGTCAATGGTTACCTGATTTCAGCATTCTTTAAAACATCTTCTTTTGTGTTCAACATAATAAAGATTTGATTTATTTTTGTTTCTGTTGAACACAAAAGAAGATGTTTTGAAGAATGTTGAAAACCGGTAACCATTGACTTGCATCAATGGTTACTGGTTTTCAACATTCTTCAAAACATCTTCTTTTGTGTTCAACTGAAGAAAGAAACTCTTAAAGGTTTGAAACATGTAAATGGTGAGTAAATGATGGCACAGTTTTCATTTTTAGGTGAACTGTCTCATTTTGGATCACAGTTTGTCTCCAGAATATTAATAATGATTTCTAATGTGAAGTCTCTTTATTTTTGGATATTTCGTGTCACCGTCCTTTATGCATTGTTGGCATAATTTAATTATAGATCCTTCATTTTGTGATGCGCCCCTGACGTTGACAGCTCGCAGATTTATTTGCGAGACACGTCTATGGTCATTATGAGGCGGAGCTGTTCCCGCGACAACAAAGGTCGTGACCTCATTGTGGCTGAATGCATCGTGTTATAGATGTGTTTAATTGGCGGGATGGAGAGGCTGAGGGGCGTGTCTGACCTCTGACCCCGCTCTGTTTATGGAGGCTCTTTACTGCTGCAGTGTGGGAGACAGTCACTGTACTGCACCTCCCCCACACACACAAATCAGCACGCACACACACTAAAATCACTTGCAAACACACACGTGCACACAAACACATACACTCATCAACACATGCACACAAACGCACTCAATTCAACACACCTGTACACACTCAAATCAACACAAATGCACACGCTCGCGCACACTCAAATGAACACACATGGACACAAACACACACTCAAATCAACACACACACTCCTGCACCCTCAAATCAACATGCGTGCACACACACACATACACACACTTAAATCAACACACATGCCTACATACTTTAATCGACATACACAATGCGCGCGCACACACAAATCAGTACAAATGTGAACACGCATGCTCACGCACACTCAAGTCAACACACACACACACTCTCACGAAATTAAGGAAATTTAAACTCAGGAAATTAAAACGCACGCACACTCAAATCAACACATACAAACAAACACATGCACACTTAAATCAACACACATGAACACAAACACACACACACTCAATTAACACACACTCCTGCACACTCAAATAGGCATACACTCAAATCCAAACAAAATGCATGCACAAACACACACACAAATCAACACACGTGCACACTCAAATCAACACAAATGCACACACACACTTTAACCCGCGCGCACACTCACAAACCCAAATCAACACACACAAAGACACACAGATCCACACACTCCTGCACACTCAGATCAACATGCATGCACACACACATACACACACACACTCAAATCAGTACAAATGCGCACACACACTCACATCAGTACAAAAGCGCACACACACACTCAAATCAACACGCATGTCCACACAATCAAATTAACATACACTCAAATCAGCATACACCCACACACACACTCAAATTGACATACACACACACTCACTCAAATCGACAAGTACACACACTTTCAAATCAACACATATCCCTTCACATACACACACACACACACTCGAAGCAGTACACACATGCACACACACACTCCAATCAGTACACACATGCGCACACGTCCACACACTCAAATCAACACACACGGCCGCACACTCAAATCAGTACACACATGCACACACACTCAAATCAGTACACACATGCACACACACTCAAATCAGTACACGGCACACACACACTCGAATCAGTGCAAACGCGCACACACTCAAATCAGTACACGGTACACACTCACACTTTCAAATCAACACGCATGTCCACACACTCAAATCGACACACATGTCCACACACTCAAATCGACACACATGTCCACACACTCAAATCGACACACACGTCCACACACTCAAATCAACACACATGTCCACACACTCAAATCGACACACATGTCCACACACTCAAATCGACACACATGTCCACACACTCAAATCGACGCACATGTCCACACACTCAAATCGACACACATGTCCACACACTCAAATCGACGCACATGTCCACACACTCAAATCGACACACATGTCCACACACTCAAATCGACACACATGTCCACACACTCAAATCGACACACACGTCCACACACTCAAATCGACACACACGTCCACACACTCAAATCGACACACGTCCACACACTCAAATCGACACACACGTCCACACACTCAAATCGACACACGTCCACACACTCAAATCGACGCACACGTCCACACACTCAAATCGACGCACACGTCCACACACTCAAATCGACGCACACGTCCACACACTCAAATCGACACACACGTCCACACACTCAAATCGACACACACGTCCACACACTCAAATCAGTACAAACGCGCACACACACTCAAATCAGTACATGGCACACACACTCTCAAATCAACACGCACGTCCACACACTCAAATTGACATTCACACATATCTCACACACACACACACACACACACACACATACCCTCAAATCAGTACATATGCAAACACACACTCAAATCAACACACAGTCAAATATACTTAGACAAAAAACACCTTAAATATAAAAGTTAATTTGCATGAAAGCACATAACAGATGATGATATAGAATGAGGCTTGTTTTGTGCAGTCTTCATGTGCTCATGAACATTTTACATTCAGAAGTGTTGTCATCATTAACAACATTAAACATCAGCCAGAGTCATATGATTACCTGTAAAGCAGTTCTCCAACAGTAACAGTCCTGTAGTTGTTCTAATCGCCTGTAACACACTCTTCATATTGCCGTTATTCACTGTTTTGTGTGTGTTGCAGCGCTTATGAACGTGTTCACTGTTTGACTGATGTGTGTGTTGTGCTGCTCTTCTGTGCAGGCTGTTCCTCCAAGTCGTTCAAGCTGTACTCCCCGAAGGAGCCCCCCAACGGAAGCGCTTTCCCCCCCTTCCACCCCGGCACCATGCTGGACCGAGACGTGGGGTGAGTCTGCTGTATAACACATTATGACCCCAGCAGCCAGTAGATTAGCCAAACTACACACACACACACACACACACACACCACCTGCCCAGTGTAAACGTATGCTGTGTTTATGAGACAGCAGTATAGCCTAATGCCGAGTTCAGACTGCGTGATTTTATCCCTGATTTTGGCTCGTCGACAGGTTTTGAGAAATCGCATACAAATGCCTGAAATCACAGTCAAATCGGTGCTCGTGCACGTGAGTGACAATCACACAGAGTGAACTATCAAAGACGCGATCTGAGAGAACCGCCGATGAGTCGCCGAAGCCTGTGAGATATTTACCTGCTGAATATCTGGAGCTGTCGCCGATTCAAATCATGCTGTGTGAATTGAGTTCTGACTGAAAATAACATCGGCGATCGCCTACAGCCAATGAGAGAGCGGCATCCACTTGTGGGTGTGTGTGTGTGTGTGTGTGTGCGCGTGTATACCTGCAGGCCAGCGGGAGGCTGGGGAGAACTTAAAATCGCTCATTTCCGGTTTATTTGGGCCCACGAGGAAAAACTAGTGGAGGTTTGACAGGACTCTGGAGCGCCCGTGTCTATTTGACGTTTCGCACAGAAAGAAATGAATTTATTATCAACTTAAGTTGAGGAGAAATGACTAATTCCCTTTAAACTTAGGTGAGCAAATCTGTACATTTTCTACCCAATTAAAGGCTTCTTTTTCAATATGTAGTTAATAACTAAAGATATACGATGTGTTTTTGGCTGTGGGACGTAATTTGGACGAAGTTGTCGGTGATTATTCCTATGGTAAAGTCATGCAATGTGAAAGCCCCTGTCACCGATCCATCTTGCAGTGTAAACAAAGCAGTGACAAAACGCCAGCCCAGATAGTCATGCAGTGTGAAAACACCTGTGTCACGACTACTTTGAAAATCCTGCAGTCTGAGCTCGGCATTAGGGCATACTCACACTATGCACAGTGTATTTTAAACATGGCGGGTGTTGCGTAAGCGAATGACGTATCTTTGTAAACCAATAGCGTTCAGCTGCGCGTCTAGCTCCGCCTTTTGGTACCCCTTCTTTTGTTTAGGACCCTTTCGTAAGGGTGCCAAAAAAGTGCCGAAGCACACGCTCCCGTCTCCCCCGACAGCCCACACTCACATTACAATCAGGCCTGAGCATGCTAACGTCATCGATGATGAGCGGTTCAGTTTAACAGAAGTGCTCTCGCTCAGCACAGTGCTGAGATTTCCTTAGTTATATGGGTTTAGTGGTGTGACACGCAGTCAAATATTCTGCTGAACAGATCCGCCACTGCTGACGCTCATAAGCAGTCATAAAGCCCTGGTGCTGCAGGAATGAGGAGGTCTGCTGAAGGTGCAGCTGTCGTGCAGAGAGGGGTTTGCGACTTTAACAATCTACAACAGCTTGTGTTCATTGAACAGTCAGAATGATTAATAAACATATCAAACAGTCCCTTAAAGTCACGTGTCGTCTTCAGTTTCAGGCTCAGGTGTGTTTTACACTCACACTACAAGCCCAAGTGAACCGCGCTCTGGCACACCTCTTCCAACCGGGCCAGGGCCGGCCGAGTGAACTGTGCCTGAGCCCGATTCAGCGCACTCACACTGTGCTCTGACAAACTGAAGTCTGAAGTGTGTGAGTTTGCAGCACTTTGTAAAGTGCAGGAAAAGTTGAACAGCGCATCTGAAAAGTGCTTCAGTTCGGCTTTGGGAAAGCAGATGATGGAAAGTATTCCAGATCAGTCCGTTTGGGCGGTTCAGCTTCAGTGTGGCGATTCCTGTAAGTGTGTGTGTGTGTGGACAGAGGAGCGTTCAGCTGTGTCAGCACACTGTGGTTTCTGTCAGATAGCAGGAGCAGGAAGTGCCGTCGCTCCATCTCTCAGGATTGGACTGTGTCCAGGAAGTGGGCGGAGCTTTCAGGGTGGCAGGGCAGTGAAGTCAAGTGTCTGTGACATGCTGATAAATGCAGAAAACCACTTCCTGTCTGTATTGTAATGGCGCCTGTAGGCTAAAGTCTGTTTTCTCTATGGTTTCAGCATTGATATTAGTGTCACAGTGCAACATGCCAGTCTATCTAACTGATTTCTTTAATCCGTATATTTCACATCTGCAGTTTACAGAATCAAATCAATGCAGAAGTAAACATTACTTCCTAACCACTCTTCTGCCCCTCCCCATCCTTTCTATTGCAAGGCATTGAGCTGTAACATTCAACATGACAAATAAAACAATAAATACAGAACACAAATAAACATACAAAAATTCATAACTATAATGAAAATTAGTAAAGACACCGTAACCAGTCACATCAGCAATATCAGTCAATGCATATTATAAATTCTTCACAATCATTAAAGGCTTTTTTCCCCCTGATTAAAGTACTGTAAACCATGCTACATGTGATGGTGATTCTTCTGATGTGCATTTTTATGGCTGCACATTTCTTTGCTGCTATTAGAACCATCAAAACTAACAGTACATTTATCCTATGGCCGAGTTGAGATACCGATTCATCTCCCAAGAACAAGGGTCTCGGATCAAATGGAAGTTCAACATTAATAACAGTTTTATTAATAGTGCGTAATATTAATGCAGTAGTGTTGAACTTTACAGCATCTAACTAACAATTAGAGAAAATCAAATCATCTTTAATTGTAAATATTGCAGAAATTGTGCAGTTTTCCAGTATTGTGCAGCTCTAGTCTGCATCTCTGCCACTGTACATGTTTATGAGCGGCTCTGTGGTCTTTATGCAGCAGGTTATGTGGACATTGAGGTTCGACATGCCTCTGATGCTCATTCTGTGTCTGTTTTGTTTCTGCAGCCCAACGCCCATGTACCCCCCCACATACCTGGAGCCGGGCATCGGGTGAGACTTTTTTTAGACAGTATTATTAGTCACGTCTTATTTATATTTATTTTGTGCTGTTTATTGGACAGAAGACGAATTTTAAAATGGAATAGTTTTAATAACTAATTTCTTAGAATTGGCTTATTTTGCATTGCTTTATGAATTTGGTGTTGTTGTTGTTGTTTAACATGTTTTTATTAGTGCTGGGTGAAGATTACTTGCAATTAATTGCATCCAAATGAAAGTTTTTGACATTACATATATATTAATGATACATATATTATGTATATGTGATGCAGATAAAAACAAAACCATACAAAACTATTTTGTTAAAGAGATATTTCAATTTATATATATATAATTTGTATCAAATGCATATATTTTATACAAGGGCGTAGGTTTGCACTTGACATTGGTGGGGACGGGTGAATGAGGCAAAAATGTTTATTAACTGATAGAGAGCTTAATAAAGACTTCTGTTTATTTTAGTCATAGTGCAAATCAAACATGTCTCGTATATCACCTATTATGCCTATACACAGGATGTATATTTCTGACCATATGTTTTACCTGAAATTGGACATGCTTCTCTGACGGCCCATTCAACAGAGGGTGTGTCTGACGTGATCGTCATTAGTCAGCAATGGGCCACTGCCTGAGGCCCCGTTTACACTAGTGCGTTTTAGTTTGAAAATGGCGTTTTAGATCAAAAAAGACCCGCGTCCACACTAGTGTTTCACCTAGCATTTCTGAACATATCTCCGTCCACACACTACGCCACCAAAAACGTATATCACGTGACCATTCGCGCACTCTGGGCATGCGCATTCTAGCGAATATATGCCGCTGCTGTTGTAAAAAAGGCAGAGTTTAACTGCACAATGGCGCCTATAACAGACAATAGTGCAAACAACGCTCCCATTTCTGTGTCCATGTTGTTGTTTACAGTACTGTCTTCCGGTAGCATTAAAGCCATGTGTTATAGTCATGTGATAGGGGCTTGACGAATAAGGGAAGGATACGCAATGACACAAAAGCCCCAATCAGCTAGCGAATCTCAGCAGCCCCGCCTCCGTTTTCAGATGTCTCCGTTTTCACTCATTCACACTGAGACGCAGCAGCAGCGCTTCAGAATGAACACGGCCTCTCCAGCGTTTCCAAAAAGCTCCGTTTTCGGCGCTCGAGAACTCCGGCGTATTGTGGACGGATGCCGTAACCGTAACAAAACTTATGCGTTTTTTATACTAAAACGCATTAGTGTAAACGGAGCCTGAGCTCGGGGAATTTGTATACAGCAATCTAATTCGCTGATTGTTCTGTCCTCTGAAGCGGCACCGACGGATCCACAATGCAGTTCAGCAGCGCCTGGCGTCTCCCATTCAAAGTGAACGGGAAACGTTAAAGCTGACGCCCCATGTGAATGAGGCATAAGAGATTAAGACAGAGGTGTCCAAACTCAGTCCTGGAGGGCTGATGTCCTGCATATTTTAGCTCCAACATCCTGGTAGTTTCTAGTTTACCTAGAAAGCTGGATTAGCTGCTTCAGGTGTGTTTAATTGGGGTTGGAACTAAAATATGCAGGACACCAATCGGCCCTCCAGGACTGAGTTTGGACACTCCTGGATTAAGAGAACTGGCGGGGGTCATATACTTTGACATTTAGCTGTTTATTCTGCAGTTTTCAGGGCATATTATTATTCAGAGTATATCAGTCTGCTATTACGATAGACTGAGCGTTAAAGAGGGGAAAACACCAGCATTAACGGCATTTTCATGGTGAACTCATTCAGTAGTGAACTTGAGTTTATGTGACTTTAACTTTTCGTTGAAAAAACTTTTCGTTGACTACCTTTTTTTTTTGCTGCCACCATCCTCACCTGTGTGTGTCACCCAACACACCTTACTCTTGCACAGGAAAATAACAATCCACTGCATTTAGCGCTACTTGTATCTAAACCATACCTGTCAACCCTCCCGTTTTTCCCGGGATTCTCTCATATATTACAGTTCTATCCCGCTATCATCCCGTAAAGGTATTTTCCCATATTTCTCCCGTAATTTCAGTCTTTCTCTGAAGGGTGGCAAATAAACATTAAAGCAGGGGACACCAAACTTGTTCCTGGAGGGCCGGTGTCCTGCAGATTTTAGCTCCAACCCTAATCAAACACACCTGATTAAGCTAATCAAGGTCTTACTAGGTATACTTGAAACATCCAGGCAGGTGTGTTGAGGCAAGTTGGAGCTAAACCCTAAAGGGACACCAGCCCTCCAGGACCAGGATTGGTGACCCCTGCATTAAAGAGTCGAGCCTCCCTATACGCAAGGCATACCGCTGAACCGCAAGGGGCCCCCCTTGCTCCTAAATGTGAGTCTGTTCTGTGCTTTCGCTTTGTTCAGGCACGAAAACACGTTGAAATAAACATAAAAATGGCGCTATTCCCTTCCTTTTCATTACAAGTGTCGTCTCCCGTTCATATGCAATCCTCAAAACAGTCATATAGAGGTGCGTGACTGTCAGCTGACGCGCTCCATAGTCATAAACAGACGCTGTTTCCCAAATGGATTCCGTACTCGTGATTTGAAGCGGAGCAAAAGTCTGGGTTTTGGGTGCGTGTTTATACAGACACATACACATTATTAATAAGATTAATATCTAAAGATGTCGATCTTCGAAAGTTTTTTTTTTTTTAAACAACTAATTTTGTCCTAAATGAGCATAAATAGGGAAGCAGTCGAATGCTTTCATTTCAATGTTAGATGTGTGCATTTTTAAAGCGACACCTGTTATTTCATGTAATCAAACGATAAAAATCTAAATGAATCATTCATTCGTTGCTCTTTAATCAGAATGTGTATGTTATATAATGAAGAAACGGCTCCTTAGCTATTAAATTTAATACGCTGAACTGTTTGCTTAATAATTAGCTGCAAGTGTACACTATTTTTTTTCTTTTGTAAATAATAATAATAATAAAAAAACATATTACTGACCATTTAACTGTTTGTTTACAGTAAAACAGCTCCAAAGAGCATATTTAGTAATTTGGTCAGGGGAATCCCTTATTATGATGGGCAAATCCTTTATTTTCCTTTATTTTCACTTCCCAGTGTTGACTAAACGCAGCCACACCCCCTCACATGACAGCAGGGAAAAGCGCAGCCAATCAAAATGTCCATATGTGTTTTGGGGGCGGGAGCACTGATTTTATATCTAAATATAAACAAATATTTTCTTTAATATATGCATGCATCTGTGTATTTATGTATATATATATATATATATATATATATATATATATATATATATATATATTGCTGATGTTGCAGTAGATAAACAAAACTAACACACACATGTATATGCTTGATTTCCTCAGGAGACACACACCCTATGGGAATCAGACGGACTACAGAATATTTGAGCTCAACAAACGGCTTCAGAACTGGACGGAGGTCAGCTTTTACATTCAGTTCCACAGCTCTGTGCTCAGTCTTAACTGTCGGCATCATGTGAATAATTAAAGATGCTTTTCATATGGCTGACATAAACCCTATAATAATGTTGGACCAGAAGCCTCGTTTGCATGAGGGATTTCAGAGAGCTGTTTGGTGAGCTTTCTCTGCTCCTCTCTCTCTCTCAGGAGTGTGATAATCTGTGGTGGGACGCCTTCACTACCGAGTTCTTCGAGGATGACGCTATGCTCACCATCACGTTTTGTCTAGAGGACGGTCCCAAACGATACAGTGAGTTAAACTGTAACCCGTGTGTGCTTCTCATGATGTGCTCATCCACTCTGGGCTGATTTTGAGACTTAATTTGGGGAAAATGCTTTGAAAATGTTTAAAAACTGTGTGTGTGTGTGTGTGTGTGTGTGTGTGTGTGTGTGTGTGTGTGTGTGTGTGTGTGTGTGTGTGTGTGTGTGTGTGTGTCCTCAGCGATCGGCCGGACGCTGATTCCTCGTTACTTCAGGAGTGTGTTCGAGGGCGGCGCCACTGAGCTCTACTACGTCCTCAAACACCCTAAAGAGTCTTTCCACAACAACTTTGTGTCTCTGGACTGCGATCAGTGCACGATGGTCACACAGAACGGCAAACCCATGTTCACACAGGTCTGAGTGTGTGTTTGGGTCTGTTTTTTGAGTGTGTTTGTTTATGTATGTGTGTTTGTGTTTTTTGCTTGTTTGTGTGTTGATTGGTGTGTTTTTGTTCAATTGATTGTGTGTCTGTGTTTGTCTGTTTGATTGTGTGTGTGTGTGTCTGCGTCCGTGTGTTTGTGTGTCTGCGTTTGTGTTTTTTTGTTTTGTGTGTTTGTGTGTTTGTTTATTTTTCTGTGTGTGTTTGCAAATGCGTGTTTGTTTGTGTGTCGATGTGTTTGCACGTGTGTTTGTTTGTGTTTTTTGGGGTGTGTGTTGATTTGAGTGTGTGTGTGTGTGTTTGTTTATGTGTGTGTTTTTTTTTTGGGGGGGGGTGTTGATTTGAGTGTGTGTGTGTGTGTGTGTTTGTTTATTTTTCTGTGTGTGTTTGCATATGTCTGTTTGTGTGTGTGTGTGTGTGTTCGTTTATTTTTGTGTGTGTTTGTTTGTTTGCATGTGTGTTTGTTTTTTTTGGGTGTGTTGATTTGAGTGTGAGTGTTCGTTTATTTTGTGTGTTTCCATATGTGTGTTTGTTTGTTTTGAGAGTGTTGATTTATGAGTGTGTGTGTGTGTGTGTGTGTTTGTTTGTTTGTTTTGTGTGTGTGTGTGTGTTCCTTTATTTTTGTGTGTGTTTCCATATGTGTGTTTGTTTGTGTGTGTTTGTTTTTTGGGTGTGTGTTTATTTATTTTTTTTCTGTGTGTGTATGTGTGTGTGTGTTGCTTTGAGTGTGTGTGTTTGTTTGTTTTGTGTGTGTTCCTTTATTTTTGTGTGTGTGTTTCCATATGTGTGTTTGTTTGTTTGCGTGTGTTTGTTTTTTTGTGTGTGTTGATTTGAGTGTGTGTGTGTGTGTGTGTGTGTGTGTGTGTGTGTGTGTGTGTGTGTGTGTTTGTTTATTTTTGTCTCTCTGTGTGTGTGTGTGTTTGTGTGTGTATCCTGAAGAAACCTTGAGGATGGGTTTGTTTACTATGGTGTTTTTGACCTGTGTGTGTGTGTGTGTGTGTGTGTGATGGCTGTCTTGTCAGATGTGTGTGTGTATGTGTGTGTGTCTGAATGTGTTTACACCGTGGTGTTTTGATATGTGAATGACTCTGCTGTCTCCTCAGGTGTGTGTGTGTGTGTGTTTTCAATGGTGTTTCTAACCTGTGTGTGTCTGTCTGAATGTGTGATTACCATGATGTTTCTGACATGCATGCATGCGCGTATGTGTGTGTGTGTGTGTGTGTGTGTTTATGACTCCTGTTTCCTCCAGTGTGTGTGTGCGTGCGTGTGCGTGTGCGTGTGCGTGTGTGTGTGCGTGTGCGTGTGTGTGTGTGTGTGTGTGTGTGTGTGTGTGTGTGTGTCTGTCAGTTTACCGTGGTGTTTCTGACCTGTGCATGTCTCTTCAGGTGTGTGTGTCTGAATGTCTGTTTACCGCTGTACCTCTAACCCGTGTGTGTGTGTGTGTCTCCTCAGGTGTGTGTGGAGGGCCGTCTGTACCTGGAGTTCATGTTTGATGACATGATGAGAATAAAGACGTGGCACTTCAGCATCCGGCAGCACAGAGAGCTCATTCCCCGCAGCATCCTGGCCATGCATGTCAGTCTCTCCTCTCAGATCTCTTCACTACTCTTCAATGTCACATGCTGATCATTATGGGATGTTGTCTGTTTGTTTGTTTGTCTGTCAGGCTCAGGATCCGCAGATGCTGGATCAGCTGTCCAAAAACATCACCAGATGCGGCCTGTCAAACTCCACTCTCAACTACCTCCGAGTACGAGCTCCACAGCACTCCGTTAACAACACACACTTTCATTCTAAACACTTTCAGTCCACACTAGCATGACGCCTGATGCTAGCATTAAACTAATGCTTGAAACATAGTGTTAACCCTGCATTATCACATCTACAATGCACAGTGTTTTCACTTCGGGAGCGTCAATTGTGTTGTAGTGTGGACTGGAGGACAACCTGGAGCCAAAGCAGTTCAGTTCTCCGCTGTGAAGCAGCACTCTTCACTCATTAGATGTGGTTGTGTGTCTTCCCGCAGTTGTGTGTGATCCTGGAGCCCATGCAGGAGCTGATGTCCAGACACAAGACCTACAGCCTGAGCCCCAGAGACTGTCTGAAGACGTGTCTGTTCCAGAAGTGGCAGCGGATGGTGGCTCCTCCAGGTCAGCCTCTCGTTCGCTCTCTTCTGTGTTTCTGTAGCGTCTCTTCAGAAAAACACTCCACTTTAAACGATTAAACGCTCTTTGTACAGCTCTAACAGCTGAGTTTGAGCAGTTTTGAATGCATTCAACTCATCTCCAGGTCTGGTGGGAGCACTTTTCACTTAGCTTAGCATAGGTCATTGAATCGGATTAGACCGTTAGCATCTCACTTAAAAATGACCAACGAGTTTTGATCAATTTCCTATTTATTCATATTCTACATTGTGCTGTTGCAGTCATGGTACGGCAAAGTTCCTACGGCTGATTTATATGTCAGATTGAGCGTCTAGTTCCCACATGTCATTCTAGAAAATAACATCTTTTGCATTTTGTCCGTCTTAGTGCAAAATTAGCTCAATAACTACACAATTATCTCAGTAACTACACAATTAGCTAAACAACTACACAATTAGCTAAACAATTACACAATGGGCTAAATAAATACACAATGGGCTAAATAACTACACAATATGCTAAATAACTACACAATTGGCTCAATAACTACACAATTAGCTCAATAACTACACAATGGGCTAAATAAATACACAATTGGCTAAATAACTACACAATATGCTAAATAACTACACAATTGGCTCAATAACTACACAATTGGCTCAATAACTACACAATTAGCTAAACAACTACACAATTAGCTAAAAAATTACAAAATGGGCTAAATAACTACACAATATGCTAAATAACTACACAATTAGCTCAATAACTACACAATTAGCTAAACAACTACACAATTAGCTAAACAATTACACAATGGGCTAAATAAATACACAATGGGCTAAATAACTACACAATATGCTAAATAACTACACAATTGGCTCAATATCTACACAATTAGCTCAATAACTACACAATTAGCTCAATAACTACACAATATGCTAAATAACTACACAATTGGCTCAATAACTACACAATTAGCTCAACAACTACACAATTAGCTAAACAGTTACACAATGGGCTAAATAAATACACAATGGGCTAAATAACTGCACAATATGCTAAATAACTACACAATTAGCTCAATAACTACACAATTAGCTCAATAACTACACAATGGGCTAAATAACTACACAATATGCTCAATAACTACACAATTAGCTCAATAACTACACAATGGGCTAAATAAATACACAATTAGCTCAATAACTACACAATGGGCTAAATAAATACACAATTAGCTCAATAACTACACATTGGGCTAAATAAATACAAAATTGGCTAAATAACTACACAATATGCTAAATAACTACACAATTGGCTAAGCAATTACACAATGGGCTAAATAAATACACAATTGGCTAAATAACTACACAATATGCTAAATAACTACACAATATATTAAATAACTACACAATATGCTACATAACTACACAATATGCCAAATAACTACACAATTGGCTCAATAACTACACAATTAGCTCAATAACTACACAATTAGCTCAATAACTACACAATGGGCTAAATAACTACACAATGTGCTAAATAACTACACAATTGGCTAAACAATTACACAATGGGCTAAATAACTACACAATATACTAAATAACTACACAAATAGGTCAATAACTACACAATTAGCTCAATATCTACACAATTAGCTAAACAATTACACAATGGGCTAAATAAATACAAAATTGGCTAAATAACTACACAATATGCTAAATAACTACACAATATATTAAATAACTACACAATATGCTACATAACTACACAATATGCTTAATAACTACACAACTGGCTCAATAACTACAAAATTAGCTAAATACACAATTTGCTACATAACTACACAATTAGATAAATAACTACAGAGAAGTCGAGTTTTTAAATGGGAATTATTAAACCTTTTCTGTCATTTTTGAGTGAGATGCTAATGGTCTAATCTGATTTAATGGTCTATGCTAAGCTAAGCTAAAAGTGCTGCCGCCAGACCTGGAGATCGGCTGATTGGATTCAGAAAGGGTTAAATCTCACCTCATCTCTGTTAAATGAAGAGTTTTTCTTTAAGCGAGTTTTCTCTCTCTGCAGCTGAACCGGCCAGACAGGCACCGAATAAACGGCGGAAGCGTAAGATGTCGGGCGGCAGCAACATGAGCGCGGGCGGCGGCTCCAACAACAACAGCAACAACAAAAAGAAGAGTCCCGCCAACAGCTTCCCACTGTCCAGCCAGGTCCCTGTGAGTGTCTGGCGTCCTGTTTTATTTTTCTGTCTATTTCGAAATATTGCATAAAAAGCTTAATGAAAAGCCTATATATACATACATATTTAAAATAATTATGCACACAATAATGAACTTTAATAAATAAAAACTTTTATCCAATATGAAAAATGCACATAAAATATGACTAAAACTATTTACCAAATGAATTCCAGCATCAAAAAAAGTCATGATTTGTAATAGTAGTACTAATAAACAGCTAATAACTTAATGATATGCAGTTGTTTATATACTCACCAGCCATTTTATTAGGTACACCAACTGCTTGCTAACGCACATTTGTAATCAGCCAATCACACGGCAGCAGCTCACTGCATTCAGGCCTGTAGACATGGTCAAGAGGATCTGCTGCAGGTCAGAGCGAGCATCAGAATGGAGAAGAAAGGGGATTTAAGAGACTTTGAACGTGGCATGGTTGTTGCTATCAGACGGGCTGCTCTGAGTATTTCAGAAACTGCTGATCTACTGGGATTTTCACGCACAACCATCTCTAGGGTTTACAGAGAATGCTCCGACAAAGAGGAAATATCCAGTGAGCGGCAGTTCAAATGCCTTGTTGATGGTCAGAGGAGAATGGCCAGACTGGTTCCAGCTGATAGAAAAGTAACAGTAACTCAAATAAGCACTCGTTACAACCGAGCTCTGCAGAAGAGCATCTCTGAACACACAACACGTCCAACCTTGAGGCGGATGGGCTACAGCAGCAGAAGAGCACACCGGGTGCCGCTCCTGTCAGCTAAGAACAGGAAACTGAGGCTACAATTCACACAGACTCACCAAAACTGGACAATAGAAGATTGGAGAAACGTTGCTGCTCTGATGAGTCTCCATTTCTGCTCACACATTCAGATGCTCGACTCAGACAACATGAAAGCATGGATCATCCTGCCTTGTATCAGCGGTTCAGGCTGGTGGTGGTGGTGTAATGGTGTGGGGGAGATTTTCTTTGGGTCCATTAGTACCAATTGAGCATCAACGCCACAGCCTACCTGAGTATTGCTGCTGACCATGTCCATCCCTTTATGAGCACAGTGTCTCCATCTTCTGATGGCTACTTCCAGCAGGATAACGCAGCATGTCATAAAGCTCAATCATCTCAGACTGGTTTCTTGAACATGACGATGAGTTCACTGTACTCAAACGGCCTCCACAGTCACCAGAGCTCAATCCAATAGAGCAGCTTTGGGATGTGGTGGAACGGGAGATTGGCATCATGGATGTGCAGCTGACAAATCTGCAGCAACTGTGTGATGCTATCATGACAATATGGAGCAAAATCTCTGAGGAATATTTCCAGCAGCTTGCTGAATCTCTGACATGAAGGATTAAAGCAGCTCTGAAGGCAAAAGAGGGTCCGACCCGGTACTAGTAAGGTGTACCTAATAAAGTGGCCGGTGTGTGTGTGTATATATATAGTTTGTTTGACCTCTAAGTACTCATGTAGTGTAAGTTCAAATGGTAACATAACCAACAGACTTTATGGAGCCCTAAATCTCAGAGATTGCTCCATTCCCCATGGTAAAAGCCTCTGCATTGGCTCTTCTTGTCCTCCAGTAGTTTACGCTGCTCTTCTTCTGTGTTCAGGATGTGATGGTGGTGGGCGAGCCGACGCTAATGGGGGGCGAGTTTGGAGACGAGGACGAGCGTCTGATCACGCGTCTGGAGAACACACAGTTCGACGCAGCCAACGGCATCGATGACGAGGACAGCTTTAACAACTCGCCGGCGCTCGGAGCCCACAGTCCCTGGAACAACAAGCCCCCGTCCAGCCAGGAGAAGAACGAGAACCCCACATCACAGGCCTCTCAGTGAGCCAGGGGGCGGAGCCTGAAGGAGCGGCGACAGCCAATGAGGAGAGAGGGCGGCGGTCTCATTCATCTACCTGCAGAACGTCTTCCTGTCAGCTGAGGAAATGAGCGTCTCTCTCTCTCACACACACACACACACACACACACACACACACACACACTGGACAGTCTCTATCCCAGGTTTGCTTGGTGTTTTATGAGGACGACACTCCTGTAGATAGTTCATATGTTTAAGTTAAGACGGAAGATAAAACGCCAGCGAGACCTGTTCATTCACTTCTGTTCACTCCACCGCCCGCTGCTCTGACATTACTGTTATTACTGGTGTATTTTTAAAGATGTTACACTGCTGGGATGCTGAACTGCAGGATTATTAATTTTCAGATTCTGAGTTTTTCTGATTTTATATCTTGAGATTCAGACATTTCTCTGAGTTTTCTGAATATCTGCTTTATTCCACAGTGGCGTGTGTTTACTGCAGTGCTGTTCAGGTTCACATTCACAATATTTCAGTGTTGTCAATCTGACTTGTTTGACAGCATTATTATTTATCTTCAGATTGATGTTTGAGTGCTTCATTAGTTCTCCATAACTATTTTAAAGATCATTAGAGCTTCTTTTAAGCCATTTAAATATTTTAATTATCAGCTGAAATCTAATGTCCGAGTTTGGGGTTCATATCTTACAAATTTACATTTTACCGAATGTATTTCACCCTTTTTTAAGTTTATTTCACAATTAATTTGTTTTACTGCAGTATTATTATTATTATTATTATTATTATTATTATTTTATTTTCAGATTCTCACAATTCTGGATTTGTCTGGATTCTGAGTTTCTTAAAGTTGTGTTTATTTCATTCTCCTTAAATCATTTAAATGTTTTTTTATTATTTGTTTTTAATAATAGCTGAAAGTGAAATGAAATCAGTTCTGACTTTTCTAAATTTTGAGTTGATCTCTCGCAATTTAGATTTTTTTCTGAATATATATATATATCTATATACTCTGAATATTTACTCAGTGTAGGAGAAGACCTGAGTTTTGATATAAATATATGTTTATGTATGTTTTTATATATATATATATAAATTCAGAGTTTATCTTGCAGTTCTGAATTTTCATAATTGTTTTGGATTTTATATCACTATTTAATTTTATTTGTTTTACTGCAGTATGATTTATTTTCAGATCATCATCGTCTCAGAATTTATCGTAATTCTGAATTTTTCATCTCTGAATTCTGCATGTTTGTTTTTATTAATATTTATTCTCCCCAATTTTATTTAGTTATTTTGTTAACAGCAATATGATTTATTTTCAGATTTAAATCATCGTATTATTAACATTTTTTGTCATTCAGAATGTTCAGAATTTCTATCACAAAACTGACTTTTTATGCATTTTAATCTCTGAATTCAGATTTTTTTCCTCTGTTATTTTTACATTAATGAATCATGTTGATGTAAAAAATATATAATAAATAAATATAATTACAAAGAAAAAAATTTTAATAAAACAGAATTGTTTTCAGATTTTTTTATATTATTTTTTTATTGAATTAAATTTTTTATATAATTTTTTTACATTGATATGATTTAGTTTTCAATTTAAATCTCAGATTTGTAATAGAAATTCTGACCATTCTGAATGACAATAAAAGACAGTGTTAGGGTGATTTACATCTGAAAATAAAGAACAATCCTGTTTAAGATAAATAAGGACCGGCGGGGGGAGTTGGAGGATTCACTCTCGTCCCCCGGGCTCTGCACTGGTTGGCAAAATTCCAAATTAAACCAAAAACAATGGATTACAGTTGGCTTAAGATTGGCTAGCAAAATTGGGCACATTACAACCTGCAGAACCCGGGAACTTAAATTAAAAATAATCATAATAATAATAAATCAAATCTGAAAAATTCTCTTTCTTTTTTTATTTTATTTTTCATTATCATCTGTTTACATTAATCTGATTTAGTTTCAGATTGAATTCATTACACCTGCCACTGTCATTCTTTACTCTCACGCCAAGTGTAAATCTTTATACACAGATAGATTTTTTAGTGAACCCTCAATACTCTGCCTGTTCTGCATATGAACAGGAATACAGATATTAAAGACACAAGAAATAAACAACAACAGCAAAATAGCCTAAAGCGAACACGAGTACTGTTCACGCATGAAGTCCTGCATTGTTCATAACCTGTGTTTCAGCACGTAACCCAGCTCTAATAACAGTAATGTCAGCTCTGCGGTGGTTTTGGGCTGAACCGTGAGCTGGATATCCGCTTGTAGATTCACATGAAGAGCGTTTCGACTTTTGGAGACTTTTATCCGTGTTTTATACCAGCCTCTATTTCCCTACAGATGTTTTTATTTGCTTTTTATTTAGTGTTTTTTTTACCGACGTCGAAAGCTGCAAACCAAGGAGTATCAGAACCGTCCCGGTCCGTAAAGATTTCAACCCTCAGATTCTATTGGTTTGTATTATTTTTTGAGAGAGAGTCATCTAGTGTGGGCTTGGGCTTGATTTTTGTGTACTTGTGCTTGTATATTTAAGGTAGTAGCAGAGTTGTGTATAACTGTATTGAGATGTATTCCTCCTTAGAGTTACAGAAAGCCATTCTGATCTAATGTGTACAAAAACGGCAAAGATTAAAACACAGCAACCTCGTCTTTCCCCCCCTCATCATCATCATCATCATCATCATTATTACTCTGTTGATTTTCATTTGTGTGGAACTGATGAACTGATCAAGGGCACAGTCTGTTTGATTCTTTCACTAAACGCATTACGTTTATTGATGTTGTTATTTTTCACACACACAGGAGCTTGATTTTGATTTTTTTTCAATGTTTTTATTTTTTCTTTCTCACACACTGTCGTGATTTATATTTTATTCTTTATTTTTTAATATTTTTTTTATTGTTTTGTTTCCACACACACACACACACACACACACAAGCTTGATTTATATTTTATTCTTAAATTTTTTTTATTCTTTATTGAATTTTTTTTAATTTCACACTCGTGAGCTTGATTTATATTCTATTTTTAAAAATGTTATTATTTTTTTTTCACATATGAGCTTGATTAGTATTTTGCATTAGCTTGATTTTTTTGTGTGTGTGTGAAGGAAAACAATGAAAATAAAAATGAAGCACGTGTGTGCGTCTGTGCATGTGTGTGCGCGTGCGTGTGTGTGTGTGTGAAAACAAATCTAAATCAAGCTTGTGTGAAATTAAAATAAAAAATAAAATAAAAATCAAGCTCCTGTGTGAGAACAAAAAAGTAAAACAAAACATCTTGATTTATTTTTAGTTTTTTTTTTAATTCACACACACAAGCTTCATTTTAATTATTTTATTTCTTTTCATTATTTTTATTTTGTCTTTTAAACCCTAGAGCTTGATTTAGATATTATTTTTAATTATTATTTTTATCTATTTTTGAGCTTTATTAATTTAGTTTTTTTTATTCTCTTATTTAAATAAGTTAAATCTTTAGTTTTTTCACACACACGAGCTTGATAATGTTTTTCTTTCTCACATGAGCTTGGTTTTTATATTTCTTTATTTCACATGTGCTTAAATTATATTTATTCTTTTTAGATTGTATGATTTTACGTTTCACACACAAGCTTGATTTATATTTTATTTTATTTACATTTTTTTCCAGAGCTTGATTGTGCGTGAATGAAAAACACAATAAAAATTGTGCTTGTGTGTAAAATAAAAATGTTAAAATAAAAAGGCTGTGCTGTGTGTGAATGAAAAAAGTAAAAACAGAATATCTTGATTTATTTTATTTTTTTCTTTCACACACATGAGCTTGATTTTGTTTTATTTTAATTATAATTAATTAATTATTTTATTTAATAAATAAAATTTTATAAAAAGAAAATATTTAAACATTTATTTTAATCCTATTTTATTCCACACAAGAGCTTGGTTGTGTGTGAATGAATTGTTTTTAAAGCAAGCTTGTGTGTGTGCGTGTGTGTGTGTATAAAAAAACAAATATAAATCAAGCTCGTGTGTGAAATAAAAAATTTAATAATAATAATAAAACAAATATAAATCAAGCTCATGTGTAAAATAAAATAAATAATAATAAATTAAATAAAAATTAAGCTGTGTGTGACAATGAAAAACTAAATAGCTTGATTTCTTAATTTTTTTTTCTTAATTTATATAAATATATATATATATATATATATTTTTTAATTCACACACAAGCTTGATTTTTATAAATATATTTTATAATTTATTTTTTTATTTCACACACGAGCTTGATTTTTATTTCATTTTTTATTTTTTCTTGCGCACACACACACGAGCTTGATTGTGTGTGAATAAAACGATTTAATAAAATATAAATCAAACTCGTGTGTGTGTGTGTGTGTGTGTGTGTGTGTGTGTGTGTGTGTGTGTGTGTGTGACTGAAAAACACAACAAATTTAAATCAAGCTCCTGTGTGAAAGAAAAACATTTAAAATAATGAAAAAAATCAGAATAAAATACAAATGAAGCTCGTGTGTGAATGAATAGAATAAAAACAAAACAGCTGGATTTATTTTAATTGTTTTTCGTTCCCACACACACACACACACACACCAGCTTGATTTTATAATTCATCTGTAATTAAGGTGTATGTTGTTTTAGAGAGCGACTGTGAGCAGCTCCTGCTGTTTTCTCCACATGTTGTGTTCCTCCTCCTCCTCCTCACCCGATGATGCTGAAATCTTTTGTACTCTTTGATTTCTGTTTTTCTGAAGCAGAAACGATTGAAGGTCTGCACTTGTAATGGAGACAGACTGGTGACCTTCTCCACCTCTGACCCTTGTAGATCCTCCTGTTTGATAGAGCTTTGAGTTCTTCATTTCTGCCCTTGATTAAATTAATGTCTGGAACCAATAAAATATCAATTTTCACTTTAGATGAAGCGCTTTCCGTCTGCTTTACTGCCAGAGGATTAATAATTCAGCCAAAGATGATCATTCTGTCATCATTCACTCGCTGATTCACACCTCTATCAGTTTCTTTCATCTGTTGAACACAGTAGAAGATGTTTTGAAGAATGTTGGAAACCAGTAAAACAAATACTATCAAAGTCAAGTGGTCTCGCAATGTGGCCTCATAGCAAGAAGGTCTCCAGTTCGAGTCCAGGTTGGGTCTGTTTGTGTGGAGTTTGCATGTTCTCCCCGTGTTGGTGTGGGTTTCCTCCGGGTGCTCCGGTTTCCTCCACAGTCCAAACACATGCGCTATAGGGGAACTGATCAACTACACTGGCCGTAGTGTATGAGTGTGTGTGTGTAAATGAGTGTGTATGGGTGTTTCCCAGTACTGGGTTGCAGCTGGAAGGGCATCCGCTATGTAAAACATATGTTGGAATAGTTGGTGGTTCATTCCACTGTGGTGACCCCTGATTAATAAAGGGATTAAGTTGAAGGGAAAAAAAAGCATGAATGAATGGAAGTCAATGGTTACCGATTTCCATCATTCTTCAAATTATCTTCTTATTTAAGAATAAAAATATGAGGGAAAAGTAAATGATGAAGGAATTTATTCTTATTATTAATCTATAATTATTTTGTTGAGAGGTGAACTGTCCCTTTAGATTAATACTTACATTTATTCATTCATTCATTTTATTGTCAGCTTAGTCCCTTTATTAATCCGGGGTCGCCACAGTGGAATGAACCGCCAACTTATCCAGCAAGTTTTTTACACAGCGAATGCCCTTCCAGCCGCAACCCATCTCTGGGAAACATCCACACACACACTCACACACACACACACACATACACTACGGACGAATTAGCCTACCCAATTCACCTGTACCGCATGTGTTTGGAAACCGGAGCACCCGGAGAAAACCCACGCGAATGCAGGGAGAACATGCAAACTCCACACAGAAACTGAGCTGAGGCTCGAACCAGCGACCTTCTTTCTGTGAGGCAACAGCACTACCTACTGCACCACTGCCTTGCCAATACTTAAATCATACATACATGATTAAATATTTATTTTTCGCAAATAATTTAAAGAAACGTAACATTATTTCATAATTCAGACCTGTTGATTAATTCTGAAATCTCATTTCTGAGTGTTTCTCAAGTGTTGTCTTCATATCTCTCTCTTCTGTATTTCTCTCGGTGAGTTTTCAGAATTTATTTCACAATTTAAAATTCTCTGTTTTTATTTTATATCACATAAAACTGAATTTTTCTGAATTTGTAGTTTATTTTGTTCAATTATTAATTTTTCTGAATTTAAATCATGCAATTATTTTATTGCATATATATATATACACACACACTCATATATATATATATATATTTTTTTTTTTTCAGTTTATGAGCTTTCATATATATATATATATCATAATTCATAATTGTCCAGAATTTAACAGTAGAGGTTTTTCTAGTTTGAGTTTTGTCTCGTAATTCTAAATTTATCTCTTGGAATTTTGGATTTTTTTTTTCTGAGTTAATATTTTACAGTAATGATCTATTTTCCTCAGTTTTTTCCTCAAAATTTTTTGTTGCTATAAAACAGTTCAAAAGAGTGTCCGGTTAATATAAAAGTAATGTTTATTGATTAATAAATGTGTGTTAAAGTCACATTAATATACTTTTCATTATTCCTGCATGTGTTGTTGGACACTTTAAATGAGTTCTGCCTGCATCAGTGAGACGGATTTATTCGTTTATGTTGTGTGTTTGTGCGTAAGTAAGTAATGTGGATGTACATTGTGAATGTATAGTGTATATTGCGCATTGATTATAGGCCGTACACCCAAAGCGCTTCACAATCATGAGGGGGGTCTCTCAACACCACCAGCAGTGTGCAGATCCACGGATGATGCTCCGGCAGCCACAGGACAGCGCCAGTGCTTCACCACACACCAGCTATAGGGATGATTGGGAGGCCATGATTAGTAAGGGCTGATGGAGGGAGTTTGGCCAGGACACTGGAGTTACACCCCTACTGTTCACCAAAAGTGCCATGGGGTTATTAATGAGCACAGAGAGTCAGGAGCTCAGTTTAACAGCTCATCTGAAAGACATTGCTCACTGACAGTATAGTGTCCCCTTCACTATACTGGAGCATTAGGACACACACAGACCACAGGTTGAGCGCCCCCTGCTGGCCTCACTAACACCACTGCCAACAGCAGCCTAGTGTTCCCATGTGCTCTCCCATCCAGACACTGACCAGCCTCAGCCCTGCTCAGCTTCAGTGAGTGAGAACCGCTCTCGGGCTGCAGGGTCATCTGGCTGTGCGTCTTGTAGTTTGTTGTTTCAAATCCCTAACGTGAGTCTGTTTTGTTCAAAAAATGGTAAAATAATTATCTAAAATCATGACGTCATGAGTTGATTTAATTCCTGCTATTATGTGCAATACTCGACTGTCGCTGCTGTGTGTTGCGTTATATTCTGTACTGGTTTAAACTGCCTGCAAATCCCTGTATTATCTCATATTCTCATGTTTTCTCCTCAATAATAAGCGGATTTCTCTGAGTTTAATCCTTCAGTTCAGTGACATTTATTTCAGATCGTCTCTGCTGGACTGAAGCGCTCAGAATAATATTATCAAATGACATTTCTGTATCAGTCCGACTCAATGAATCTCATATAACGCTGAGGGTGAAAGTCACTGAAGCAGAAAACTCGGATTTTACTGACATCTTCCGACAGCTTCGATGCAAAACACGTATTATTTATTTTATTTGTCAGTTTTTACACTAATTCTGCTTTAAATACTGTAGTTTTTGATCATTTACGTTTTGATTAGAGCGAATTATTTAGTCTATTCTGCGTTTTTAAACAATAATAATAATAACGATCAATATAAACAAGGCACTGTTACGTGCTGACTGTTACTTTTCTCTGCGTTGCTGCTGGTGAGGCAATCACAGCAAAATGCGTTGACTGGAAATTAATTAAGGATTAATCTTATGCGATGCAGCTGTTCTTTATTTTCATGTCATATATCAATGACAAATAAAGTTATACGTTTCAGTTTCTTCATTCTCGAAAAGGAGAAGGTTGTAGGGATGTCAATCGATTTTAGCCGCTAGGATTATGGGAGTTGTAGTTTGAAAAGAAGTCTCATTTTAATTCGTCGCGGATGCTCACGTGACCACCTTCCTGTCACACGTGGGTTGGATTTTTTTCCTGTGGCGCGGAATTGTCATCAGTCCACACATTTTCAACAAGTTAGTTTTCTCAAGTATGAAGTTTTATAATCATAATCAGTGTTAATAATCGGACAGAGAGCGTGTGAAGCGCAGGATGACGCAGAAACAGACGCTAGAGGTGCGCTTTGTGCCCGATGAAGATGTTCGGGATCATATTGTGGAGAAACAGCAAGGTAAAAGCGCCTCAGTGTTTCATACGTATATTTATGATTAATATCGACATAATTCAAGTGTTTAATTGCTTTAGACAGTCAATATAGAGAGTTTAGAAACTTGTAAACAATATAAATGATCACATATACATGTGGTTGTACTATTTTCAGCAGTCCAAGTTAGTCTGATAGTGTGGAATCAGATGAGGATATTGATGATCTAATACATAAATGATAAAATTTTACAACTCATTTATACTATAGATATTCTATATCCATCATTTTATTCTTTAATTTTTATTTTGTCCCACTCTTTGGACAAAATCGTCTGCTAATTGAGTAAATGTAATAATTCTTATTGTCATTATAAATTTATATATATATATAATTTTTTTTTCTACCTAACTAAAATAACAGAAGAGATAGCATGTTTTTAATAGTATTTTTCAGTCTCTTTATTTTTAGTCAACACAATACCTACATTGTCATTTCAGAAGAGTAAAAAAATCTATATTTGGTGGGAAAATGTAATAAAAATACTAATAATTAAGCAAAAAATTGAGGCAATGAAGCTCTAAATGATAACATATTTAAGATTTATTAAGAAATTCCCTGTAAGATCATTATAGAATTAAACAAATATTAACATTTAATTTAAAATTTAACACAATGAATCCTTGCTATATGTTTTAATTCTGTAGTTGAAGGTAGGGCTGGGCGATAAGGCAAAATAGCAATGTCAATAATTGTTTTCCATATTGATTGGTAACGAATATACATTTGGACATAAGTTGTTAATGCTTCCAGATTTAAAAGAGCATCTCAACATTAATGAGTTTGCAGTTTGATCAATCCAGAGAAGCACTATGGGATGTTGAATATTCAGCGTGCTATTGTATATTGCACAGCCTTACTTGATTTTGCTAGTGCCAGGTTTTACTATGTGAAGTACAAGATGATTTAATGCAGATTTATACTTCATGTAGGTCAATACTTATACTGAAGCCACAAAAACTAGATGGTCCATTAAAGGGCAGAACATTTCCGGCCAGAAATTTGCTGCATCTCTAATATCAACATTCGATGAGCATTGCTGCACATTTCTGCTGTGTGATCGTCTCTTAAATTAATATAGAGTAAAAAGGTGCAGAGCTTATCGATGTTATTGACATAAATTAAGCTGTGATTCAATATAATTCTGTTTATCTGCCCTACCTGAATGTCACTGTAAGCTGAACACTAGTGTCTTGAAGAATATCTAGTCTAATATTATGTGCTGTCATCATCAGTTATTAGAGATGAGTTATTAAAGCTATAATCTCTGTTAAACATCACTTTGACAGAAAAAGACAGAAAGTTTGACAGGAGGGCTCCTAACTCTGCCTTCAGCTGTGTGCATGAAGAGATGATCATTGATCATAAGCTAACATGAGTCTCCTGCTGATCTCTGCAGACACAAAGGCAGTGAACGGATCGGTGCAGACGCTGGTGAGCCTGAAAACCTCCCAGAAAAGCCGGAGATCTGCTGAAGATGATGATGAAGATGAGGATGAGGAGGTGTTCAGCGAGCAGCAGTATGTGGAGGCGCTCTGCACTGCAGAAACAGGTGAACACACACTGATCTCTACTGCACACACTGATGATCCTGCTGTCATTATCTGGCTTTTATTTATTATTTATTAGTCTAATTTAACAAGTGTTTTCTAGAGCAGTTAAACAGATTTGTGTCTCATTCAGTAACTGTGTGTGCGCACGCATGTATGCAGACGCTTTCACCAATAAATCAGCATTTATCAAAACTTTTGTGCTAAAATTTGTTCTGAATCTGTGAAGAAAATGAAGAATGTCTGAGACCACACCTGCTCAATAATCATGTACACCTGCAGGTATATAAACATGTATAAAGAGCACTGCGCATTATTAGATAACTTATTTCTAATAACTAGACATTAAATACATACACTCACCGGCCACTTTATTAGGTACACCTGTCCAACTGCTTGTTAACGCAAATTTGTAATCAGCCAATCAGATGGCAGCAGCTCACTGCATTTCAGCATGTAGACATGGTCAAGAGGATCTGCTGCAGTTCAGAGGAAGCATCAGAATGGGGAAGAAAGGGGATTTAAGAGACTTTGAACGTGGGATGGTTGTTGCTGCCAGACGGGCTGCTCTGAGTATTTCAGAAACTGCTGATCTACTGGGATTTTCACGCACAACCATCTCTAGGGTTTACAGAGAATGCTCCGACAAAGAGGAAATATCCAGTGAGCGGCAGTTCAAATGCCTTGTTGATGGTCAGAGGAGAATGGCCAGACTGGTTCCAGCTGATAGAAAGGCAGCAGTAACTCAAATAAGCACTCGCTACAACCGAGCTCTGCAGAAGAGCATCTCTGAACACACAACACGGCCAACCTTGAGGCGGATGGGCTACAGCAGCAGAAGAGCACACCGGGTGTCGCTCCTGTCAGCTAAGAACAGGAAACTGAGGCTACAATTCACACAGACTCACCAAAACTGGACAATAGAAGATTGGAGAAACGTTGCTGCTCTGATGAGTCTCCATTTCTGCTGACACATTCAGATGCTCGGCTCAGACAACATGAAAGCATGGATCATCCTGCCTTGTATCAGCGGTTCAGGCTGGTGGTGGTGGTGTAATGGTGTGGGGGAGATTTTCTTTGGGTCCATTAGTACCAATTGAGCATCAACGCCACAGCCTACCTGAGTATTGCTGCTGACCATGTCCATCCCTTTATGAGCACAGTGTCTCCATCTTCTGATGGCTACTTCCAGCAGGATAACGCAGCATGTCATAAAGCTCAATCATCTCAGACTGGTTTCTTGAACATGACGATGAGTTCACTGTACTCAAATGGCCTCCACAGTCACCAGAGCTCAATCCAATAGAGCAGCTTTGGGATGTGGTGGAACGGGAGATTGGCATCATGGATGTGCAGCCGACAAATCTGCAGCAACTGTGTGATGCTATCATGACAATATGGAGCAAAATCTCTGAGGAATATTTCCAGCAGCTTGTTGAATCTCTGACATGAAGGATTAAAGCGGTTCTGAAGGCAAAAAGGTCCAACCCGGTACAAGTCAGGTGTACCTAATAAAGTGGCCAGTGAGTGTATGTTTCAATCTGTATGTTTATAATTCTTTTGAAAATTATGAATGTGTGTGTGTGTGTGTGTAAATATTGTTGTGTTGCTGTTTGTGATCAGATGAGTGTGAGAGTGCTGGTGGATCCTCCGTCTTCTCTTTCCAGACCATCAAGCGCAGGAATAAAATGGCTCAGATGGGTGAGATGATCATATCACTGTTCATTATCAGGGCTATTATGTTATGAGGAGGGTCATAATACTGCAGTGTGTTGATCCTGAGTCTGGTGTGTGTTTTTCTGTGTTTGTCTGTGTTTTGTGTGTGTGTGTGTGTGTGTGTGTGTGTGTGTGTGTGTGTGTGTGTGTGTGTGTGTGTGTGTGTGTGTGTGTGTGTGTTTGTGTGAGACAGAGATGTGCTTCTGTGTGTATATAAAAGATCTACCATTGTTCATCGTGTGTGTGTGTGTGTGTGTGTGTGTGTGTGTGTGTCTCCTCCAGCATGGGCTTTAATATCCTCCTGTATGGTCTGGGCTCTAAGCAGCTGCTGCTGGAGAAGTTTCGCTCCTCGATGCTCTCTGATTATGATCATGTGGTGGTCAACGGCTTCTTCCCCAGCATCACGCTCAAATCCGTACGTGTTCCCCTCACTCCAGAATAATCCCACCGCCTGCATTGTTCATTCTTCAGCAGTTGTTGGTTCAGTAGCTCTCTGCTCTGTTTCTGCTGATGCTGTGACGCTCCTGTGCTCTGCAGATCCTGAACAGCATCACGGTGGATGTGTTTGAACACCAGGGAAGTTTCCGGAACCCAGCGGAGCAGATGGACTTCATCACCCGGACCCTCAGAGGAGGTGCACGGTCATTTCTAACAGAACAGAGCCTAACACCTGAGGAGTGATGAGGCGTACAGTGAACAAGCCCAAACACTGACAGACATTAGAGATCATTATTGAGAATTATTGATGAATTATTAGTGAATAATGCTCAGCTGATCTGCTCTCCACAGCTGATCCACTGTATTTCAGACAGTTGTCAGGATTTTGTCATTTAAAGTTTGTCACTCGAAGCCCAATTGATGAAATACAAGACTAACTGCTAAATAGTCTCAGTCAGCTTCAGTAGGGGTGAGATCATCTCTAGGAAAATATGACTGCACAATCCAAAATAAATATAAGAATTGACGGTTAGCCCCTCCTTTTTGTCAGAAGCCCCTCCCCTTAATCATCAACTCTTACCCTTCAGTCAACCCCCCTTTAATCAGAAGCCCTTCCTATTTGCCCAGAAGTCTCTCCCCTTCACTATTAGCCCCTCCCATTTGACCAGAAGCTCCTCCCCTTTGTCACCAGCCCCTCCCATTTAACCAAAAGCCTTTTCCCTTCAACAGCAGCTCCTCCCATTAGAATAAAAGCCTCTCCTGTTTGAACAGAAGCCCCTCCCCTTTCATCAACAGCTACTTCATCATCAGCCTCTCCCATTTGACCAGAAGCCCCTCCCTCTTCATCAACAGTTACTCCCCTTCATCATCCGCCCCTCCCGTTTGACCAGAAGCCCCTCCCTCTTCATCAACAGCTACTCCCCTTCATCATCAGCCCCTCCCGTTTGACCAGAAGTCCCTCCCTCTTCATCATCAGCTCCTCCCGCTTGACCAGAAGTCCCTCCCCCTTCATCAACAGCTACTCCTCTTCATCATCAGCTCCTTCCGTTTAACCAGAAGCCCCTCTCATTTCATCATCAGCCCCTCCTGTCCCCCTCCCCTTCTTATCATCCGCCCCTCCCGTTTGACCAGAAGCCCCTCCCGTATTACCAGAAGCACCTCCCATTTTCTCAATAGCTGCTCCCGTTTGACCAGAAGCCCCTCCCCCTTCCTCATCAGCCACTCCCGTTTGACCAGAAGCCCCTCCCTCTTCATCAATAGCTACTCCCCTTCTTCATCAGCCCCTCCCGTTTGCCTGAAGCCCCTCCCTCTTCATGAACAGCTTCTCCACTTCATCAGCCCCTCCCGTTTGACCAGAAGCTTCTTCCTTCTTATCATCAGCCCCTCCCGTTTTACCAGAAGCCCCTCCCTTTTTATCATCAGCCCCTCCCGTTTTACCAGAAGCACCTCCCCTTTTCTCAATAGCTGCTCCCGTTTCACCAGAAGCCCCTCCCTCTTCATCAACTGCTACTCCCCCTCCTCATCAGCCCCTCCCGTTTGACCAGAAGCCCCTCCCTCTTCATCACAGCCCCTCCCGCTTGACCAGAAGTCCCTCTCATTTCATCATCAGCCCCTTCCCTTTCCCAGAAGTCCCTCCCTCTTTATCAATAGCTACTCCCCTTCTTCATTAGCCCCTCCCGTTTGCCTGAAGCCCCTCCCTCTTTATAAACAGCTACTCCACTTCATCTGCCCCTCCTGTTTTACCAGAAGCCCCTCCCTTTTTATCATCAGCCCCTCATGTTTTACCAGAAGCACCTCCCATTTTCTCAATAGGGAGGGGCTTCTGGTCAAACAGGAGCAGCTTTCATCATCACCCCCTTCTGCTAGACCAGAAACCCCTCCTCCTTTACCGTCAGTCCCTTCCGTTTAACCAGAAACCCCTCGTCCCTCATCATCAGCCTTTTCTGTTAGTCCAGAAGCTCCTCCCCTTTCATATCTCAGATATTTAAACCACACTAACGTTTCAGAGATCCCAGTAGAGATGGGTGTGGCTTTCAGATGAAGATGTTTCATGCTCCACCTCACCTGGGCGTGGCTTCCAGTCAATCCGCCCACTGTAAGTCTTGTGTGTTTGTTTCAGACCCGTCCAATCACGTGTTCCTGATCATCAATAACATCGACGGGCCGATGCTGAGGGGCGACAGGAACCAGCAGGCTCTGGGTCAGCTGGCGGCGCTACCCAACATGCACCTGCTGGCCTCCATCGACCACATCAACGCCCCGCTGGGTCAGTGCACATTCTGGAGGAGCAGTGATGATTGGGCTGTTCTGAACTGTACTGATGTGTGTGTGTGTGTGTGTGTGTGTCCTCAGTGTGGGATCATGCTAAGATGAGCATGTTTAACTGGCTGTGGTTCGAGAGCACCACGTACCGCTCGTACACCGAGGAGACGTCTTACGAGAACTCACTGCTGGTGCAGCAGACGGGGGCGCTGGCGCTCAGCTCACTCACACACGTGCTGCGCAGCCTCACACCCAACGCCAGGTATACACACACACACTCTTACATACAGTCAAACACACACTCTTACACATACACTCACATAAATAATAAACACAGTAGTGATGTGTGTGTGTGTGTGTGTGTGTGTGCAGGGGAATCTTCAGATTACTGGCAGAGTTTCAGCTGGAGAATAAGGATAATCCTGCGTACAGCGGTAAACATCAGCACCACGCTCAGATTAATACAGGACTGCGTGTCCAACACTGATGGTGTGTGTGTGTGTGTGTGTGTGTGTGTGTGTGTGTGTGTCTCAGGTTTGTCTTTCCAGGATTTCTACCAGCGCTGCCGAGAGTCTTTCCTGGTGAACAGCGACATCACACTGCGCACGCAACTCACCGAGTTCAAAGACCACAAACTCATCCGCAACAAGAAGGTCAGACACACACACACACACACACACACATTTTCATCCACTGAAATAAAATAAAAAAAGCATAATATCTAGAATGGAACAGCAGTCACTGAGAAATGAACAGATATTTAATGATAATTAGGCAAAATCATTTTCTGAATAATAAACAGAATGTGCAGCTGTTGAGGGAAACACCTGTAGGTGGCGCTGGTTGTACAGCAGGTGCGAAACTAAACACTCAAGTGAAAGCAAACAGTGCTGTAGAGGATTTCATATTGAAGACTATAATCAGAATATTAAAGGCTTCTTTAAAACTGAAACAGGACTTCATTCCTTTCTTCATTCCCTGGATTGAATCAGACTTTGGAATTCTCATTGCCTCAATCGACTCTTTAAAATCGACTCTTGGATCTCATTGCCTAATAATTGATTCTTTTTTTTTAATTGACTCTTAATTCTTAATGCCTGAAAATCAGTTCTTTTTTTAAATCAACTTGATTCTCAATGATTTGATTATTTTTGGAATCGACTCTCGGTTCTCGATACCTCGTAATTGATTCTTTTTAAATTGACTCTCGCTTTTCAATGCTTTGGAATCGTTTCTTTGGAATCATTCAACTTGGTTTTCAGTGCCTTGGAATGAACGTTTGATTCTCAATGACTCAAATTCTGTTTAAAATCAACTCTCAATGACTCAGAATGTTTTCTTGTTGGAATCAACTTTCAGTTCTTAATGACTAAGAATCATTTGTAAATCGACTCTTTGATCCTTTAATGCCTAATGATTTATTCTTGTTCGAATCAACTCTCAGTTCTCAATGACTCAGAATCATTTTTTTAAATGAACTCTCAGTTCTTGGTGACTCAGAAACAATGCTTTTGGAAATTAAATCTTGTTCTCAGTGACTCAGATTTCATTATTTTAGGAATCAGCTATCAGTTCTCAATACCTCGTAATTGATCATTTTTTAATTGACTCTCGGTTCTCAATACTACAGCACCGATTCTTTTTGAAATCAGACTCTGTTCTCAATGCCTCAATGTATTATTTTCAAAATCGACTCTCGATTCTTAATGTCTCAGAGTCTGTTCTATTTGAAATTGGCTCTCGATTCTCAATGACTCAGATTCAATTATTTTTTTTTAATCAACTCTTAGTTCTCAATACTGTGGAATCAGTCTTTGAAATTAGACTCTGTTCTCAATGCCTAGGAATGTATTATTGTTGGAATTAGCTCTCAGTTCTTAATGCCTTAGACTTGTTTTTTTTTTATCGACTCTTTGACTGCTTAATGCCTAATGATTTATTGTTAGAATCAACTCTCGATTCTCATTGACTCAGAATCATTTTTTCATAACATTTTTTTTAAAATGAACTCTCAATTCTTGGTGACTCAGATTCAATTCTTTTTGAAATTGACTCCTGTTCTCAATGCCTCCGAATTTAGTTGTTGTTTTTAAATCGACTCTTGATTCTCAATGACTCTGAATCAATTCTTCCCAAAATCAACTCCCAATTCTCAATTCTTTGAATCAGTTCTTGTTTGGATTCACTCAATTCTAAATGACTCTCTGATTCTCTGTGCATCAGTTCTTGTTGGAAAAGCGAGTGTGTGAGCAGCTGCTGTTGTGTTTCAGGGTGCAGACGGTGTGGAGTATCTGCTGATCCCCGTGGACAACGGGACGCTCTCTGACTTTCTGGAGAAGAACGATGTGGAGTAAAAGACGATGAACTTTATCATCACATCACTGATCTGCTTATGTGTTCAGGAGTCGTCAGGTTTGAGAGTCGACAGCAGCGTGCGTGCGTGCGTGTGTGTGTGTGTGTGTGTGTGTGTGTGTGTGTGTGGCACTTCATTCTGTAGCTCTATCATGTACAGTATTCTGTAAAGCTTTGTAGAATCATAACAATAAATCTTCTTCTGCAGTTCTGAGTTTATTTACATAGAAAAATACATTCTCAAATATATATATATATACTGTATTCAACACAAATATATACTGTATTAAACACGGTCAGACTTCATTCAGAGGATTACAAAGAACACAAATATTCCAGAAACATTTCATTTTGAGCAGGAAAAGGCATCTCGGTAACAATCAGAGCCAAATGCAGACATGAGGGACTGACCAGAGGAAACGGCTTCCACATAATGCAGAGATCTGGAGCATGCGAACACACGAACACATCTTCACTACACTTCACAGTCAGGCATCATGTGTTAACATTAGTTATTAAGCACATTAATGAACTGATCAATAACTGTACAGCATTTATGACCATTATATTAGTGTTATTACATGAATTTATTCACAAATACTTGTTTTTAAAGTTGTAAAGCATGATCAGTTCTCATGAACACACACTGCACTATTTTACTGAATTATATGATTTTTTATAAATGCATATAAATGATCTATTTCAATAAATATTTATATTTATTCATAAAATGATTATTTAATATTATATATTTTGTAAAAATTATTTCATTATAATTTAATTGTAATAAATAAAGAATTTATAATAAATAAAAACAAACTTATTTTAACTGTATTATTAAATATATATTTATAAACTAAACATTTTAATTAATTATATTGTTTAATTATACATTAAAAAAAAAAAATTTTTTAACATTTTTATTATTTTTCAAAGATGAACAAATATGAGTGAATGCTGTAATCAGTCGATATCTGCTGTCAGTGCAGACTAATGTCAACAAACGAGCCTCCACTGTCAAGTGATATACACACGTGTGTGTGTGTGTGTGTGTGTGTGTGTGCGTGCGTGCGTGCGTGCGTGCGTGTGTGTTATGAGCAGATGTCTGCAGTGTTCTGCTGGTGTGTATGCGCGTGTGTGTGTGCGTGTGTGCGCGTGTGTGTGTGTGTGTGTGTGTGTGTGTGTGTGTGTGTGTGTGTGTGTGTGTGTGTGTGTGTGTGTGTGTGTGTGTGTGTTATGAGCAGATGTCTGCAGTGTTCTGCTGGTGTGTGTGTGCAGTGTTCTGCTGGTGTGTGTGTGCAGTGTTCTGCTGTTCTCTGAGTCTCCTGCAGGATCTGAGTTTACTCTCAGTGGCTGACTGAACCATCCTGAGCTCGTCCACATCCAGATCCTTCAGCAGCAGCAGCACCGCCTCCAGTGTGTGAGACTGCAAGCAGACAGAGAGAGTGTGTGTGTGTGTGTTTGAGAGAGAGAGAGAGAGAGTATAAGCAGCGCCTCCAGTGTGTGACTCTACAGCAGGGGTCATCAATCTCAGTCCTGGTGGTCCGGTGTCCTGCAGGGTTTAGCTCCAACTTTACTCAACACACCTGCCTGGGTGTGTCAGGTATACCTATGAGAGCTTGATCAGCTTGTTTAGGTGTGCTTGATTAGGGTTGGAGCTATAATCTGCAGGACACCGGACCTCCAGGAACACGTTTGGTGAGCCCTGCTCTACAGGGGGAGAGAGTGAGAGCCTGTGTGTAAGAGTGTATAAGTGTGTGTGTGTGTAAGAGTGTATAAGTGTGTGTGTGTGTGTGTGTGTAAGTGTGTGTACCTTCTTCTTGTGTGCGTCTCCAGCTTCTCGTGGTGATGGCAGTGATGGGAACTTGTCTCTGGACAGCAGCTTCAGTCCCAGCTGAGCCCGAATCATACTGCGTCACAAACAGGATGTGTATAGTTACACATCACACACACACACACACACACAGGAGTGTATCAGGCGCTCTTACTTTGTTTCCTCCATGCTGTAATCTTGAGGGTCGTTCTCAGAGTCTGCTTCTGTAAGGCCATTGGTGGAGCTGGTGGGGGTGGGGCCTGGAGGACTCACAAGCTCCTCCCCTTCCCGCAGCGCCTGCGCAAGCTCCTCCTCTGTAACAACTGACAACCCAAACTCGTTAATATTCATATCTGAGCCGCTTTAGGAGATTATTAAAGGGACAGATGCAGATTGGACATGATTTACCGTCGGCCTCTGCACTCACCCTGGTTGTCCAGCTTGTGCAGGCCGGGCAGGTTCCTGATGACGGTGAGTCTGTACTGCTGAGGGTTCGAGCAGCAGGGGTTTTCTGCCAGCCACAGGACCCGCAGGCAGCGCAGGGGCTTCAGGTGCTGCAGCTCACACAGACTGGAGATGCTGTTCCGCCTCAGGTACAGCTCACACAGGTGCTGACAGGAGGACAGGTGCTCCAGTGACACGATCTGATTCGCACTGACACACACACACACACACATTATTTACCACATACAGTTAAAGTCAGGATTATTCGCCCTCCTGTGAATTTTGTTTTCTTTATTAAATGTTTCCCTCATGATGATGAACAGATTCAGGAGTTGTTCTCAGTATTTCCTCTAATATTTGTTCTTCTGGAGAAAGTCTTATTTGTTTTATTTCAGCTAGAATAAAAGATCATTTTAGTAAACTAAGACTATATGCATTACAGAAATATATTAGTAAACTGAAATAAAATTAAAACTACATAAAAAATTAAAGATCTAAAACTTTCTTTCCCTAAAATTCCTACTGTGTTTTTGTTGAAAAAGCACAAACATTATTATTATTATACTTGTTTTGTCATTTACACTCTTTTTGAATTATTTCCATTATTTATTAATTAAACTATTATTTCATTTACTAAAACTAAAGCTTTCCCTGCATGTCCTATAATGTCTTTGTTTAAAAGCAAAACACACACACACACACACACACACACACACACACACACAAGTTGATGGATATTTTTGACCAATCACTGACAGATAAACACAAACCTGAGAGTGAGAACCTCAATGTTGGGAATCTCCGTGAAGATCGAGATCTGTGCACAAAATCAACACACTTCACATTTACTGCTTTCATTTATACTGCAGTAGTCAATAAACAGCACATAATATTGTGTCTATGCATATATATTGATATTGTATTCATATTTTATTATGAACAAAATAGAGAGACCGCTTGGAAATTATTTGTCTTGATTTAGAATTTCTTGATAAAACATTCTTTTTTTATTCTGTAAACAACTGATGAGATTTCCTGAAAATGAAAATAACATGTAGCATAAAATGAGAAAATAAGTCAGAATAATAATTCTGTGCCATGTTTTCAGGCATGTTTATGGTCATTTTTAGGCAATACAATAATAAACTTTAGATTTATGAGAGCAAAATAGGGTGTAGTAATCACTTATATCAAACATTAGTTATTCTCAATTGTCATTTTCTGCAAAAATATTTGTATATATCTTCAACAGAAATGCATACCTTATACTAAATACATACTACTGAGAATTGTGAAGTCATGTCATGGTTAACTAAAAGTGTAAAATAAAATATGCAAAACAAACCTTTTTCTGATATGTTTCTTGTTTTCTATTAGGTTTACTTTAATTACTAAAAATATTTTATATTTTTATTTTATTTAGAATTAATATTTTTATATTAATAAATGAAATAAACCCAAAATAACTCAAATTTATGAAAACTATAATAAACAAAAGAAAATGGATAATATAAGAATACAAAAAACACTGCCAAATTACTAAAACGTTAACTAAATACAATTAATAGAAACGGTCTATTTTTAGTTTAACTAAATTATTAACTAAAAATGATAATCGATTACAGAAAAATCTTATTAGAAATGTGAACAAACATAATAGCATATATTTTGTAATTTTCTATTGGCTTATAATTTACTAAAATGTTCACTTAAAACTACCCAAAATAATACAGAAAATGACAAAAAGATGACCTAAACCTAAAATGCAATGAATATGAACAATATACGGTGTAATTTTAATATTTTAACAGAAGGGAACTATTGAAACTCACATCTGTCAGATTGCAACCCCTGAAACACAAAATAATTAGAGAATAACGTTACATATATTAAGCAGAAATCATCCATTGAATCCACACTGAAGATATTTAAGCAGAAAACAGTTTAAGATCTCTGAATAAATGCAGAATATTAGCTAGTCTTAACCAGGCTAACAGCTAGCAAACAGCACACACACACACCAGCAGTTCAGCTTCTTCACGCTCTCCAGGTCTGAAGCTTTAGCTCGAGCCAGAACCAGTTTACGGGTTAATTTCATGATGATGATCGATAAGGTTTGATCGGAAGTATGTCGATATTATTGAGCTCAAACGCGTCCAGTGAACAACAACATCACATCTCTGCTGTCCGTCACTCACTGCACATGCGCGAGCGCGTCACTGCGCGTCCATGACAACAGCGCGTCCCCGTCTGTCAATTCACGCGCTCAGCGGCAGAGGGAGACAAAAACACCAACAGTTATGAGGAAACAGATGCCATACAGTATCATGATATTCTCAATGTCAGCATCATTCCGCGGTTTTGTATGTTGTTATTAAAGACCTGCATCAGTACTCTGGACCGTAATTCCTTCATAATATCATATTTAATCATTCCTGCATGTGTGAACGGATCATTTTATAAGAATAATGTCAGTCACTGAAAATATACTGTCATATAT